ACCCCCCTCTCCCCCCGTCCCCAATTCTGCACCATAGCTTACACCCACCCACCCCCACCCCACCCCCAATACACCCATCCTTTGAAAATTTCATCAAAACGTTATTTCTAAATATCTAAAAATCCCCGTGAAAGGAGAGAAGTGTCGCTCCCCCCACCCTCACCCCCGCCTCCCAATCCACGCTCACCCCTTAGCCTCTTGCATGTCATCCACCCCATCTCTCAAATTGATTTGTTAGGCGAAAGTCGAGCGGGATAACAAGAGACAGTTGTCTGTCAGAGCCGCGAGGTTCCCTTGCCATCTGCAGCGTCCGAGATGATCCGATTCAAAACGTGTAAACTGGGCGGGGACCTCCTGTGAAAACAAAGAATGCAGGACTGCGCCTTATCAGATTTTTCTGACGCGAAGACAGACAGAAACAGACTCCGAGACGGCACACAGACACAGATAGACTTGCGATCAAGTCACTCACTCCCTTTGTGCCTGAACATTGTTCAGTTTTCTGACACTAGAACAGGAATTGGAGAAATTTCTGGAAAGTTGAGACGAGGAGATGTGAGTGGGTCTGGGGTCGGCCGAGGCTTTGGTGTGAGTGAGCGGTGGATCTTGCATGCTGCTCGGCTGAGCGTGAGGGGCTTAGCTGGAAACTAGAGCTGAGATAATATTATGGTAATTCTGTGGGTGGTATTGCTGGAGCGTGTGTGCTGGTGGCTTAATATGTGTCGTACGGTGGGGATCTTTAGTCCTGAGGTCTCACGCAAGACAACGAGGCCGCCGTGGAAGTGAAGGAGAGGGACTGGGTGGTTGGCGGGTGCTGTGGTGCGGTTTGCTCCTTTCCATCCAATCAAACATCTGGATCTATCTTCCTTATCACTTTTCTTTCTTCTATTTTTATGTTACTCTCTACAAGTAACACCTGTAATCTTCGACACTGAGAGTGACCTTATTGTGTAGTAAGTACAGTAAATGACTTATGTAAACAAAACAAAGCATCGTCCTTTTCTCCCTTCCTTCTTTTCTTTGTATGTTACTCTCCAGTAGTAACACCTATAATCTTCGAGACTTATATGACCTATTTGTATTGCAGATGCTGTAAAACGTTTACAACACCTTGACTAATCCAGCCATTTTTTTTCGTCTTCCCCCTTTGCAGTCTTGGAGCGGTCCCAGTATGCCAGTGACGACCCGTTCTTCAAGCACAAGTGTCGCTTCTGCCACAAGGTGTTCGGCAGTGACAGCGCGCTGCAGATCCACGTCCGCTCACACACAGGTCAGTGCTCACGGGAGGTCGGC